GTATTAGTTTTCGATTACTGCATAACAACTTACCACAAACCTAGTGGCTTAGAACAAAACTGTATTAGCTCGCAGTTTCTGCAGGTCAGAAGTCCAGGCATGGCTTAGCTGGGGTCTGTGCTCAGAGTCTCACAAAGTTGAAATCATGCAGCTGGACTGCATTCTCACTTGGAGACTCAACTACAAAAGGGGTTTGCTCCCAAATTCCTTTAAGTTGTTGGCAGCTATAAAACTCATGGCAGCTTATTTGTTCAAACTCAGCAACAGGAGAGAGTTTCTGCTGCTTGGAGTCTCTGACCTCAAGGAATGCCTAGTCCTCCCCACCACCTTGAGATATAATTCATATATTATAAAATTCATCTTTTTAAAGTATATAGTTTAGCCAGATGTGGTGACTCACGCCTGTAATCCCAGCACTTTGGGAGGCCGAGGTGGGTGGATCACGTGAGGTCAGGAGTTTGAGACTAGCCTGGCCAACATGGCAAAACCTCATCTCTACCAAAAATGCAAAAATTAGCTGGGTGTGGTGACAGGCACCTGTAATCCAAGCTACTTGTGAGGTTGAGGCAGTAGAATCACTTGAACCCAGGAGGCAGAGGTTGCAGTTAGCCAAGATGGCACCACTGCATTCCAGTCTGGGTGACACAGTGAGACTCCATCTCAAATAAATAATAAAATATATAGTTCAATGGTTTTAAATATATCCACAAAGTTGTGGAATTACCACCACTATCCAATTCTAGAATATTTTCATCACCCCAAAAAGAAACCCTGTACTCATTAGCAGTCAGTCCCCATTCTCCACTCTCTCTGGTCCCTGGTAACCACCAATCATTTTTCTGTTTCTGTGGAATTTCCTATTTTGAACTTCCATATTAACAGACTCTATAACATACTGCTTTTGTATCTGGCTTATTTCACTTAGCATAATGTTTTCAAGGTTCATTCATGTTGTAGTATGCATCAGTGCCTCATTCCTTTTTATGGCTGTATTCCACTGTATGGACATACCCCATCGATAGATAAGTTATTTCTAATCCTTTGCTATTATAAACAACACTGTAAAGAATATCCTTGAATACATATTTAGAATGTGAATGAGTACATCTGTACCATATACATTTCTAGAAGTAGAATTGCTAGGTAAAAAGGTTATGCATCAGTAATATTGATAGTTACTGCTGAGTTATGCTATTTATATCCTGTCTTTTAAAGTACCGTTTGAGGAAGGGAGATGAAATGGCATAGTGGAAAATGCACTGAGTTTTGGACTTTGTTTCAAGAGAAGTTTAATATATTGTGGTTATTAAGGGCATGGGGCTTTGGAGGCACACTGCCTGTGTTAGAATCTTGGTTTTGCCACTTACACTCTAAATGACATTAAGTTAATTAACTGCTCTGCCTCAGTTTTTTTCATCTGTAAATGGAAATAACATTAGTACCTTCCCTGGGGATTGATGAGACTACACATGTAACACTCTTAGAACAGTGTCTGGGCTGGGCGCAGTGGCTTATGCCTGTAATCCCAGCACTTTGGGAGGCCGAAGTGGGTGGATCACCTGAGGTCGGCAGTTTGAGATCATCCTGACCAACATGGTCAGAGAAACCCTGTGTCTACTGAAAATACAAAAATTAACTGGGCATGGTGGTAGGTGCCTGTAATCCCAGCTACT